TTACTGCAAATACAAAAACATGTAATTTGAAGAGGTATTTTACAATAGATTGCTTCGTATATTAATAGAATGAAGGCGCAAGATTTAAAAAAAGATTATGTTTACCCAGAGTCTTTGCAACCATTTATATTAGATAACCTCACATCAAGTTTGTGGTGTTTGTTAATGGACCATGAAATCTCATGCTTTGCCCTCGTAAAATAAATATTATACAGTGAGGCAATTTACATAATTGTAAGTACCATTGTATTTACCATTGGCACGGATAGAAAGGATATACTAGTATAGAAAAAGTGATATATATCTTTGTTGGAAAATTACATTTATGAGTGAATGGAATGTGCATCAGATACCCTTTACCAACACAGACCTAATATTTACAATGTAAATGAACCAGTAATTGTGATACAGAAAAATGTTTCTGTGCCAATTGGCAATTTGTAATGACCCCCTGTCCTGGGAGGAGGGAGATTTAGTAACGGAAACTCTGGTAGACTGGGACCATGTGCATAATATTTGATCGAAAGCATTCAGCAGACCAACACTTGGACGGTATTCTTAGCGGAGTGTCAATGTAATTCTGCTTCTGTTATGTTAAATAGCCATGGTTTTGGGTTCTTTAGAGCTCATTATGGACGTTTCCTACCATTATTATTTGTCAATCTGTGAAAAAAAAACAAAAAACTGATTTACCTTGTATTTTATTATTTATATTATCTTTGTTCTACATCTCACAAAATATGAGTGTAGATAAGACCCACCCATTTGTACTGAGTTAAGAAGCTCATTGAACATTTCAATTATCTGACAGTGATTTGAGATCAGTTGTCATGGTAACAAAAGATGAGCCCTCAACAGTAGTACCTTGCTAAACTTTCCGAATGACCACAGTACACATTGTCAGCACTATTGGAAGCTGGCTGGTGTGGTATATATGGTATCTGGTGAGGTACGTACTGTCCACGACTGCTAGCACTGCTGCTTGAACTGTGACCAGATCCAAAATGACTTTGTCCAATGCGAATATTTCCACCAGATGATCCATGTGCATCACCACGCCCACTGCCTCGCTGTTGAGGACGTACTGTAAGGAAGAAATAAGATCTATGCATACAAAATTCACAATAACAGCAAAATCATGGCATGATTATAATTCTCAAATATGAACCATATACATAGTCATCACTATCAACATTCAATTGAATTCTTCACATGACAACTTACACATATTTCCACGTGTTTCTGCTGGATGTGTTGTTATTTGAGTGTCTTCAGGTCCATATCTTATAGAAGTACTCCATCCATGTCTGTCAGTTTGCATTGGCTGGGCACCGAGCTGCATATTAGTCACTTTAAGAGGTGTGGATGAACCAGTAGTCTTGAATGATGTAATTCCAGGCAAACCACCTTCCACACCACCAATCATACCTACAGGCTATACAACATATTATGTAGATCACTAAGTGTTCAATGTGAGTATGTAAATCACTAAGTGTTCAATGTGAGCGTGTAGATTACAAAGTGTGACATATTAAGCATGTAGATCACCAAGTGTTCAATGTGAGTATGTAGATCACTAAGTGTTCATTGTGAGTATGTAGATCATTAAGTGTTCAATGTGAGTATGTAGATCACTAAGTGTTCAATGTGAGTATTTAGATCACTAAGTATTCAATGTGAGTATGTAGATCACTAAGTGTTCAATGTGAAACAAAGAAACTAAATTTGGAAGAATAAATACCGCTGTATTCAGAAGAACTGACAATTACACTAAATTGTGTACACAAGTTGATTAATAAAGGTCATTAACATCAGTCATCAGTGAACTACAGTAAAGTAGGTACTGGAAATGTCCTCATGCCAAATGATTCCAATGTTTTCAAGGGTAATGTATATATTCACCTGTTGTTCCATAAAATACAGCTCTGCTTTGGTTCTCTCATCAGCACTCACTGGTATCCCATCAATACATAAAAGATTAGGCTGACGATAAACCAACATTGGACGATGCATCAATCGCCTGGACACCTGTAAATAAAATCAGTCAAACAATGAAGTACACTCTTTGTGTTTCACCAAGATTTGGTAGGTGTTATCCTTGAAACAAGTCATTGTTGAAGGATGTAAACTTCTAGTAGCTGCTGACATATAAAGTAAAGCAAGCAAATAACATTGAATAAATGGCTTGGTAAATACTACATCAAATCAAAGTAAACATGTACTGTGTGCGTTACAATGCTCATGTACACACCTAATCGCCTAGCTTCACGTCAAAACACATTTTCTGCTCGGCCAACCCCAACAGGATGCTTAATAACCAAGTTTATTATATGCAGAGAGCATGAAACCCGCCCACACTGATGTAATGTCAGTCAACGCTGTGTGGCATAAATCTGAACTACTGTTTACAGTTTTATCAAAGTCAAATGATCTCATATAAGTTTAACTTTTTACAAGGTGAGAAGTAAACAACATCAAAAACCTTCCACTACAACTTTGCTAGAAGGAACAACATTAACTGAACACTGACAGTCATACATGTAAGGGCTGTACATTTCCCAATAACTATACAGTAATTATCATGAATACCAAAGTAAATTAATATGCAGAAATTGAAATACTTACAGGATTGCTAATAACTGATAACTCAATCATGTTATTCAAGCATTCTAACTTCTCTAATTCACCCATATCCTAGATTAAATAAAGTAACAATAAATTGTACATATACAAAAATGTACATTGCAAGGTAAACCTAACACATATTTAAACGTACGATCAAAAACCTATGATCTAATACACCTTTCTAAAAAGTCCAGTAGCAACAGTGAGCTTGTGTAGATGATAAAAAGAAGGTTGTTTACATTATTGCAATTGGTTTGATCTGTGGTCCCCTAGTAATACAAATTTTGTGACATTTATTAGATTTTAAATAATAAAGTGACATCAAAACCAAAAAAAATGTGATGACATGAAGAACATGCTATGCTATGCGTGGCTAATACATTATAACCATGTATCCGATAGGTGTGACCTACCTGTACTCTGTTCATACCAAGGTACAACCTCTGTAAAGTCTCCAAATGATGGAAGTTTGACAAATCCCGCAGTCTGTTCTCTTCCATATGTAACTCCACTAGATTCCATTGATTCATAAAGGAATACTCATTTAATCCTTTAATCTTGTTTCTATCTAACACCAACTCACGTAATTCTTGCAGTCCTTCTAACCCCTCCACTTTAGTTATCTCATTACCTGCAATATACGCAGTATAATAATATAAATATAAAAATTCAAAGGTGAAACACATTTTCCGAATAAAGAAGACATACAGATGAATGAATTCTATTGTTTTTGATGTCAGATGTATAATAATGTTAGATATTTGTAGTACATAAATTTTCAAAAAACTTTTAATCTGAAAATCGTGAAAAACTACTTATTCCATTTTTTATATAGTTTATGTTGAGATACAAATAGTTCCCATAGCCATGTTTAACAATTAATCATACTTATAACAGAAGTGATTGAACTCTTTCATATTTTCCATCAGCAAATATCATTACTGTGATAAATTTAGAGTTTACCTTGAAGAAATAAAGCTTTCAATGAAGGTAGTCTACTAATTTGTAGCTTTACAAGGTCAGCAATTCCATTGTATCTAAAAATGTAACAATCAAACATAGTGTCAACACTTATATAATACAGAGTGTCAATGCCACGGTCGACAAATCATCAAATTTATTTTCTCTCCATATTTTAATGTTCAATATTATTTCAAGTTTGAACACCTACCCAAGGTGTAGAACTTCCAGGTTTTCCAATACTGGAGTAAAGTTCTCTGGACTGTACAGATCATTGGCAGATACAACGTTAGGTTTCTGTTTGCTTGATGCCTTTGGTTTGGGTACAATGGTCTCTATGTGATTGTTATTTAAACATAATACCTAGAAATAGACAAGTTGATATATACTGTAGTAGTATGATGAATGGCTAAGGCATGTGTCAATCACAATGTCTACCAATGTTTTAGATTACTTACTCTGAGATTGACCAAATATATGAGACCACTGAATGATGTCAGTGTGTTATGTTCCAAGTTCACGCTGTGAAATAAAATAAGAAATAATATATCAGGATAAATATCAATACATATTCATAATTTCGTGAACATAATAGAGTTAAAAAAAATTAAAGATATTGTGATAAACAGATCAGAGATGGAAATACGCAAAGTACTTAAAGTAGCTGAAAATAACACTGACCTTCTCAAATTGAGAAACTGTTCTCCAGGTCCTAGGTCTACCTGGCGAATACCAGACTGTGGAAAATCTAGTTCTCTTACTTCCAGGAAGTTAGCATGACCAAGTCTCTCAGCAACAAAGTCCTGGGTTAGTCTTCCACCAAATGTGTCCTTAGCAGTACCACCTTCAGATGATTCCTAAAGTATGAACATCAAAACCGCAAAATACATAAAATGAAGCATTGGAATAACATGTTACAAGGATACACCACATTATGGATGTCTTTAAACATTTAGCAGAGGTCAATGCCACCATGTACTACCTAACTGCAAACTTGTCATAACCTTGCTATTCAATCAATTGATGAAAATTGGTGAAGCTTTCTTGCTATTTACATCAATTTTGAAACCTGCTGCTAAATTGAAAATATTGCTTAATTGTTGCTTGGCATTCTCTTTTCTGAACATGGTAACGACACATCTACTCCAAGTCAATATAAAGCAAAATTACCATAAGATACACTGCAAGATATGACAATAAAAAGCAGACAGTGTATATTAAATAGTACACTTACAATAGCAATACCATCCAGTGCTTTAAGTGTCTTCAGATGGTATACTACAAACAATCTGTAATTATCTGCTTCAGAGGCCACTGGATTACCATATAAATCCAATATCACAAAGCTGGGTAAGTTCTGTGGAAAATAAAATACACCACCATCAGTGACAAGATCTCCTCTTTACTATCACTTCTACTTATTATTATTAATATTATTATTATTATAGGACATACATGACATAGTAGAAATATCTTAGTCACAGACTCTGATATGTGGGTACAGGATACATATATCTATAATTCCATGTGTTGGCATATGCCACCTATGTGGTTATTAACAGTTATTAGCCACATTGATTGCTGTCATTAAATTATAGAACCTATTAACCCACCAGTACCTTACATGACCCGAGTGCATTTACTACATGCAATGTTCTTACCTTCAAATGAAAGATCTCTCTGATGTTGGATATACAATTATTGCCAATGTACAGTTCAATCAATGACATGATTTTACTTAGTCCTGTCAATGAAGTTATCTTATTGTTTTCAACTGAAAGATACTGTAAGTCAACTAGTTTCTCAAGTCCACATGATTCCAACGTAGTGATACTATTGCTTCCAACATTCAGATACCTAAGCCTAGTTAACTTAGAGATACCTACAAGATATAAAAATTAAGTGACAATGATATGATTATACAATGTCTCAATTATTGTAAACAATAGGAACTGTAAGAAACATCAAAGAAAAGAGATGGAAGTATGGTTGGTCCTGTCATATCTCAAACATTTGTTATTATTTGTAGAATTACATTTGTAAAATATTGATCAGTGATTGTCCATAGAGGGAGAAAAAGGGCAAATATTCAAATTCAAAGACAGGCATTCCACTGAAGAAAAATACTACATAATTTTGAAGAAATCACTGATTTGAGAAAAGTCTTTGCAAAACTCAACGGGTGACTGTAAAACAGTGTCACAGATGAATCTGTATAGTTACGATGAAACTGTATATTTACCTTCCAGTTTGGATATACAGTTATTTTCTAATGACAGTTCTTCTAGCTTGACACAACCGTCCAAGCCTTCTATTTTGGTGATATCATTATCATTGAAAGACACAAAACGTAAGTTTTCTAAACGATCTAAATTAGAGATCTTGCTGATATGCTGACTATCCAGGTTTAGCGTTGTCACCTGTAAGCAAATGAAAAATCACATGTTTTGGTCAGAATTTTATTTTGATACTTTAACATGGCAATAATGTTTATTTAATACTTACGGTAGTAATATGATACAGTAACACATTGCCTGAAAACCTCCACAGATAACTGATATGAATGAGTATATAATAGCAATATAATTTTAATCCTGTTAGAATGAAGAACTACTCACCTGTAAGTACCATTGACTGTCAGTCTCACTCACTCTGTCTGGCTTGTGACGACTTGTTGACCAAAGTACTTGAGCACAAGATGCTAGACTAAGACTTCTAGGTTTCACTCTATCTGTTCTGGAATGTGCTAAGAGAGACACCTGAGATATCCGTGATCCTGCAGCCATACGTAGTGCTGCAGTAGCTTCACTCTCTGTAATGCTCACACCATTTAGCTTTGTCAAGGATTTGAGTCGACCAATAGTTCTCAGTCGTAGACCATCAGGCTGACAAACAACATTTGTGAAAGATATATTATCAGAACAACTTTGTGAGTACCATGAAGTCAACAATGAAGTTGTGTTCGCACTAATGATAATTATCTGGTTTACATTAGATATTGATGTGAACTAATTTAATAATAAAATCTCTACAAATTGGTACTGTCAACACAAAGAGAAACACATATATCATCGACCGGTTTTGGAAACCCTGAAAGTGTTTGCAAACATAATATGTTTGTATGTAAGTAAATTATGTACAATATCATGTGTAACAATAAATAAAGTATGCAAGGAAAAAAAGAATTTTTCTGACAGTCTTAAATGTATATTAATTATGTAGTCATTGCAGTCACTTGAACACAAGATACACATTTATTTATTTAAAAGTTTCAGTGTCACAGACCACATACAGACAATAACACAAACAGACTGGTCTGATATTCTACATACCTTTTGCCATGGGTTGTGTCTTAAATCTAGATTAGTAACACCATTACAGTGTTTACGTAATATTGACAATTCATCTCGTGTACTGCTCAACTCATTCCAACTCAAATCCAATGTTTTCAGTTTTGTCATCCCCTAAAAACAAAAGATTACGTGAAATATTAGAGTGATATACAGAGGGAGTAATGAATCAAAGTGATAGCAACATTGCTGGTTGAGTGGGTCTTTATGATGCATCAACAACCAGAATTAGGTGGTTATATCCAATAACATAATAAGAAATAGTACATACCCTCATTCCTTCCAGTGTGTAAACTTTGTTAAAACTTGCATCCAAGTATTCAAGGTGAGGCTAAAGAGAAAACATAGTGTAACTATTACATACTAGTCCTTGTTGATTAATATAGGGTACAGTTTGAGAAAAATAAACTGAAATAAAGTCATAATAGAATACTGTAATTGCATATGAAAGCAGTATGGTGATTGTAAAGGCGTATATTTTACATCACAATCTAGTTCATAGTTAGTTTTAATAGCCCTGAAATATCAGCAAAACATTTTATGGAAACATTCCTCCATAATTATTCCCATGTACAAGATCACTGTCATGCATTGTAGTGCTACTCCTACTGATGTAAGCAAAGGAAAGCGTTTACTACATGTGATGTAATAATGTGGCAGATCATGGTGATGTAGTTCACCCTCAAATAATGTAAATGAGAGAAAATATACTTTGAACAGCTGTACAATAATGTGTGTTATCCAATAGATTGGATAGGCTACAAAGTTTTAATAATAACTATAATATTACCTGAGCGGAACAGAACAACCAATTGGTGGAGTCACCAATGGCAGTTATAGTGAGTGTAAAGTAATAATATTATGATTGTAAATGTGTAAACTTGTACTGTTTTGTTTCAAACCCAAAGCTGTACATGCTCCATGCCTGGCTGAGGTATGGCAACAAATGAAAATGCAAACATTAGTTCACTCTTCTCAGGTGTTACTGGTAGTATGTAACTATAGTTTTATATTATTACAGATTACTACAATAGTTTTAGTATAAACCACTATTCAAGTTCCAGACACACATGCTCACGATATGTATAAACACCCTTCACTCCAAATGAATATCAGATTTCTTATAAATTCTGGATTACTACAAGGATGCAGTACTCACCATATGAGCTACATCATCTAGCTTTGTAAGGTCATTAAAACTAACAATGAGTTTCTTTAACAGTGGCATAGAACTCATGTACTTTAATTTACTCAAACCATTACCATGTAAATTGAGTATTGTCACTCCAGCTAGAGATGATGCTTTGGTTGCCTTTAATATGAGTTCTTCTGTAAGTGCTATCAATCTGATAATAGAACAGAGCAATTATTTAATATGAGTTCTTCTGTAAGTGCTAT